TCAGCAGGGTGCAGCATGCACTTTCGATCACCTCTCTCCCCATACCACCACCCCCAGCCGGCATTGTGGAACACTTTGAAACATCCTCCCAACTTGGAAATCGCTGTATGTGTGTAAATGATACCCAATGTATCCCTCCAGGAAGAGAGTGCGCATTCCATTTCAATGTGGGGAAAGTTCCTTGTGTAGGCGGCATACATATGTGGAACTCTGTGTGGTTTGGATATTCTTAGGCAATGGTGATGGGTTTCCACATGTGTCGGGCACCTTGCCTGACTCCCCCCAAAATTCAAGCAGTTCTTTGGAACAAACTGACTTTCAATAGAATAAAAGTTGTCAGCTCTGACCCACCAGGGCTTTTTAGAGTTGATGATTTGAAATGATTTGTTAAAGAGTAAATACAGGAGTTATATGATCTGTGAAATGATCTGTTTGAAGGGAATCTGTGTGATTAGCCAGTCCGCTTCATGATCTGCTTGTGTATTTCTTTTTTGTGTCTGTACATGCGAGCATGGAGGTTGGCTTCATAAATAATCAAGTAATTACATCTGACATTTCTACTGTCATTTTACCAAACCCTTGTTTGTTTTTTAAAGACCCGGGCCTCTGGAGCTGGATTTTTAAGATACTATGTGTTTAAACTGGTCTGATTTAGGAATAAATATTTCTTCTGACACTAACTTGTACAGTATTTCACAAAGGTCCCTTTATGTTACAATACAGTATTAAACACATGACATCAATTTCTGATGACGCACAAATACTAATACATTACAACTATTTGGCCCTTCAGTGGATGGCTGTTTGCGGGACTTTGCTGAGTGGAAATTGGTTTCTGAGTTTGTCTGTAACATACACAGTTCCTAACTTTACAGCAGGTCTGTGAAGTGCTTTCAGACATCCCCCAGATGCGAAAGATCCTCACTCTTGTCTTTCAATCCCTCCACTCTTCTGTACCCCCCCTACCTCTCTGACCTCTCTCCTCACAACAGGGCCCATTGCCTTCGCTCCACCAAGGAGCCTTTCTCCCTTCCTCACTCCCTTCACCTCGCCCCCTCTCTTCCTATTTTCAGGTCTCGGCTGAAGACCTTTTTATTCAACCGTGCCTTTGGTCACCTTCCTCCCCATCCCCCTGGCTCGGCCCTGGGATCCGTTACGGTGAAGTGCTTTGAGACGCCGTCTGGCGTGGAGGACGCTATATAAATCCAAGTTGCTGTTGTTGAAAGGCACTATATAAAATGCAAGACTATCGTTACTCCAGCGCAGTACATAGAAATCCGTGGAATGATGTATATTTTTAGGCATAGCAATACAATGCAATTGGGGTTTATACAGTCATTTTATAATTTATAAAATTGAAATTTACATTTATGAAGAGCCGAAAGTGCGGTCAAAGAGATAGCTTTTGAAAGCAGTTTTACTTTGCTCCTCTACTGTTCTAGGGATCATGATAACAGACATGAACAGTAACCAACCTCAATTGACGTCAACAGGATTATATGTCACATTCCAATGAAGTGGCCATTACATTTCTCAACACTAAATGTGCAGGATATTTTCAGATAATGCACAGCAGCAGTTGCAACACAGGGACAGCTAAACCAGCCTCAATTGTGAAGAGAAGTGGAGCTTCTTCTCCTAATCACACATCATTCCCTGGCCAGTATAGCGGATTGTTGACCCTCCATAGCTCTGGCAATGGCAGCAGTTGATTTTCACAATATTTTGGTGCTTGTATTCTGTGCTCACCCAAAACAATGCTCTGGAGGAGTCTGGGTGTGATGTACTCTAGTCATTACTATAGCTCCATGAGTCAGCTCTCTGAGACGCTATGCTATTCATGCGTTAAGGGCACAATGTCAATGCAAGTTGTTGTTGAGTTTGTTGTTGATAGAGATGTTTTTTCCATTAGAAATCACACATACAGGCAGTAATGATCCTAAAATACCAAATATCTAACGTCTTACAGAGAACCCAACTATACTCCCAAGGCACTGGGCTGCGGCTTTGTTACAGACTCCACTAGATGGCATCAAATGTGCATGGATGGTTGAAGAGTTCACCTTCAATGAGCTCACATACAAATAAATGCCTAACCTCTAATGACTCATTTTGAAGTGAAATTCATCCCGTATCAGCATGAGTAAGAGGATGGAAATCCTGTAATTCTCTAAATACACAGAAGATAACATATTACGCTAGGGGGAGTGGGATTAATTTGGGTAACTCTTTCAAGAGCCGGCATGGGCACGATGGGCCGAATGGCCTCCTTCCGTGCTGTATAATTCTCTAGATTCTGTGAGTTCCTCTGTGCGTTCAAAAGGGTGTTGATTAGCAGAATTCTAGGCGGAATGGATCTGGAGTGATTGTTAATTGCTCATTAAAGATTTCCCCTCAATATGAAGTTGTTGTCAATAAAACTAATCAAGTGCTAGGTTATAAATTGAGGGATTTGGTTACAAGACAAATTTTCTAACCTTACATGCATGTGAGGCCACATTTAGAACTGCTTTTTGGACCTTCTTCTTCCTTCAAAAGGACACTGAAACATTGGCGAGGAGGAAAAGGGATGGTTCCAGGGCTTAAGAGTTCTACGTTTTGAGGAAAGGCTTTTAGAGCTGAGCTTGTTCTCATTTGAATAGATTGAAGGGTGACACAATCCAGGTCTTTAAAGTGATGAGGCAAAATGGCACTGCAGCATAATTATTCCTGTGTGTTATTTTCAGAGCAACCACATTGTTAATTGCCTAAGTGGCATGATGCCTTGAAGCATCAATGTGCAGTGCTTATGCGATGGGATGGTTTCATGCTTGCCGTTTCCCACACAGTCTGGTCATAATCTTAGAAGCTACCACAAGGACAGCTGAGAAACGAAAGATAGCCTCTTCCCTACTAGAAGGAAAGGAGCTAATAGTTTGCAGGTTTACCCCCCACCCCTAAGCCGCTCTTTTACGCCTCTGAGAGGCAAGTGATCTGCCAGCACTGTCTGGATGGGGAGTGGAGAGGGAATGTGGTAGGTAATCAGTGAACTTGTATTATCAGCTAACTTAAACATATAACATGATCACCGACTCATTCCCATATTCCCTTTGAAGATACTCATACATGCAGTTACATTGGGACAAAAACAATGCAACTGAACATTTCTGTTCATTGTTTCACCAAAGATCTCAGAAAAATGATTGAGATTATAAAGCAATATAGTTATACACATATATAATGTATTGGACACCTGGGATACTGCACTTAATCCATGCTAACATATCATTTATAATAGCAGAATGGGTTAGAAACTTAATGATAAGCTGCATTCTTCCTAAGGTGGTGATACTCATTGAAGCTGAACTGGACCTTGTGAGGCTGGCAAATTCTCTTACTGCCATTAAAAGACATCCCTAACAAACCTCAAACACCTGTCTGTGGGCAGCATTGCTCAATATTGAACACAGACTATGTTGGGATTCACCCAACATATCGCTGCCAGAAGTTGAGCCACATAGTTTTTGTTCACTACAGAAGACAGACTTGTTTGGTAGATAAAATTCGATCTGTATTGCAGAGCACGATGCTCTGGATCACCTGCAAAATGTAATATTAACGGCACACAAGCAATTAACAAGCAAAGATTTAGTTAGTATGGATTTGCAAGCATCAAACTCTGAAGGAAATATCTGAGCAAGTTAAGCAAGGCAATGGATGTATTTTTACCAAGATTTTCAGAAGGCATTTGATAAGGTGGCACATGCAAGTCTTCTAAAGAAAGATAAGGGTTGAATGGTGCAGTTTTGAGAAGGGGTGAATATTTTGAAATTTGGTTACATTATATTGAAGAGTATCTGTGAGGCACATTTCCATATGAACTAGAATGGGTGGGGTAGAGTCCATAACCAGATAAATTTATGCACAACAGAGCAAGCCGGTAAGGTGTTACATTGATTTTGCGCACCTCAGTGTGCGCTGAGAGTTAGTCAGTAAATATTTACATCTTTAAATGCACAGTATAGTAGGGTGCAGGTTCACACTTATCATTCCTTACAAGGTAAGCTTTATCACATCCGACTGATGTGATTGACTGGGAGCATGGAGCAGAAAACGTGCAAAGCTTCAGAGGGAAATAAAATTGAGTAATGAGTTCCTCTGGTTAGAGCCTCGTATTAGCAGTTGACTGCAAGAGCCCTGGGAACAGCAGTGGAGCATCTCAAGGAAGGTGCTTGCTTTCAGAGTTCATGCTACAACTAACTAGAGAGAATTTAAAAAAAAACGCAAATAAGGAGAAAAACTAAGCAATAAAGAGATATAAAAATTCAGGGAGGGATGTAGCCCAGCAACAAGTTCAAAATACACTGTCACTGGTGGTTAGGAAATCTGTGAATGTCTTACTTACAGACTGTTATATCTAAGTCCCTCTAGGTCTCACTACCCATTGTAACGCAAAGAATCTAGTTTGTTCAATATAAAATCACGTACTTCAGAAAATGTATGAATTCAGCTTCCAGATCCCCATTACAGGACATTTTGACTCAGGCTCTGTAACCATATTGTGTAATTATTAATTTATTAAATGGCATATATAGCCCCATTACACTGTCCTGATGAAGAGATTTAAGCATTTTTTTTGTCTCATCCTTCTAATGCCACTTGCAAATGTATTTTACGACTCTGATAACTTAAAAAGGTCAGCGTTTTATTTTGGACATCAGGCTTTCTCTTTGGACCTGTATCCTTTTTCTTCAATTAAGGTATGGGCGCCTGTTTAATTTTTTATGTCTATTGAAATATTAAACAGTTTAATTTATATTGCTTGTCCACTGACACTTTTTTTTTAAACATCTGTTCAGGTAATTGATAAATGCGCAAATCTACCGGTTTGATATTGCCCTCCTCTGCACTTTATAAATGTAGTTAAAAACCAAGAAAAACTCTTGCATGGAATTTTATATCATACAATATCTTTATTGGAAGTCATAAAACATTCTTCTCAAGGCTAAAGCATACGAGAAACCATCAAGCAGTTTGGTACATTTCCTCTGGGCTGTTATCTTGCACGTGTAAATCCGTATAGTACTGCACAGTACTATCAATGAATGCAGGAGATCAGACTGAAGGAATCGGAAGTAGAACGAAGACAGTCTAGCGAGAATCAATCAAATCAGCACTATTGTGTTCATCTTTAATTTATAGAATTACACAAAACGAGACACAGCATGAGCATAATAATGGCACAATTTCTAAATATCTCGGATGCTCGTTGAATGCATTTGGAAACCATTTGGTTCAGCGCAATCCACTGTGCGTTTGAAAAATGCTACGTTTGCAAGTCACATGCTGCAAAATGATCATTTCACTCTCAAAAATCTTAAGGCGTCATTTGGAACATTTTACATAGCATTCGGCTTCATCAAAGCGTATTTACCCCCAAGTGTTCAAATACTGCTTCTATGCCGACTCCTTCTGCGTCTTCTTTGAATAACTGCATAACAGAATGTTTTGCAACAGGTGGCACAAATAATACAAGTTTAGATCGTTGCATATTTATATCACATGAAAAACTTTGGGTTGCTTATCTAGCCGTGTATTAAGTTAAAAGAGAAGATTTTACCGTGAGCTATTTTGCTGCTCTCATACACGTCACAGGTGCTTCATTCTTCATTTCCCACCACATAACATTTCAACAAACCTCCAAGTCCGTGGCCGGCACTTAAATTGCTGTCTGTCAGTCGTCTTAACAGCTCGTCACGATGGAAAGCAAATGCCACAGCACTCTGAGCAGATCTTGGCACAATTTGAATTTACGCAGCACTCTTCCAGGTCCGCACAGTCCATAAAGCAAGGCATGTCGCAGGCTCCAAAATCTTTACTGCAACATGTGAGGATGCTGCAGCCACCAAGCGAGAGGCCATTAGAGATGGAATTGCACAGAAATAGAAAGTCACAAAACAGGCAGGCAAGCAGGCAATGGACACAGCAGTCTTCTTAATCGTACGAGGGAAGTAATATAAAAAAAGGGGAAAAAAGTGATCCAACATCATTGAAGATTTCATTCCATTCCATCCACAAACATAAAAACGTATGACGCACTTATGTATCGGCAACTAGTGCTGTGCTTTGGCTATAAGCGGCCCTTTTCTTTGTAAATCTATAGTTATCCTCTCATGTCCTGATTCCGTAGTGACGTTAGTACAGGTATGTGCCTGCAACTAAGAGCCTACTCCCATTCACTCCAAAGGCATAGAGAGTATGCAGCCAGACTGGGTTCATTACCTTTAATGTTAATTTCTCTTTAAATCTGTGTGGAAGCTCAGCGATAGCAAACCTCAGAGATTTCTAAGGCCAACTCCAAGCATTCACTGGTTTCCTGACAGGCATCAAATAGGCCGCAATCAAATTCACACTTCCAGTTACAGTCATGGCTTGTATTGGTCACATCAGAATTATATTTCTGATTACAGTCACATGTTCGGGTCCATAGGTTTGCACAAGTATGAGGTAGCATGAGCAGAAAATCGTAAAACTGGCAGAACAGACAGGTCAGAATGAGGGTTGCACATTCATCTGATAGGAAAGATGAGATGATAAAGAGACAGTAAACAGTTAGTGATTAAGAAATAAAAATAGCGGAAACATCAAAGACTTAGAACGTGTACTCACACATAAATTAGCCAACGACAGGAGCAGTTCTAGGTAGCGTTTGAAGTTCGCATTAAAAGGTAAACAAAGTTTCAGTCAAATATGACATAATATTCAGCACTTTTTTTTCAGATTTTTTCTAATGTAAAATTCCAACTTTCTGCCAAAGGGGGAAAGCCGGAGGGAAAATTAAGACAGAATTAGCAAAAAGACTGAGCACATCTTAATGGGCCATTCCACTTAGTTGAGGCATTTAACTTATATGAAATGGAGTATACTGCACAACATCCACCTACAATTTACATTTATGCAGTGCCTTTCAAGTCAGGAGGTCATCTTGCACAGTAATCAGGTATTATAAGTTGAGAAATGAAGTAGATAATATTCAATAGCTGTATTTTTCATCAACATTTATAGGATTTTAATGTGTGTGTGCAGACTACAGAAAACAAAATTATGCTTAAGAATAAAGCAATAAAAATTAAATACTGTAAAGTGAATGGGTTTCGCTACCTTCCACTGTAACTTAATTAATTTTGGATTTAGTAGGAATACTAATTTTGTTTGGGGGAGGGGGAAAGCAAAGATATCTCACTCTTTAAAAACTCCCAACTAAATGATTTAATTTACGTCGAATTCAACTGAAGTACAGACACTTTATCCCAGCTTAGCTATTTCTATAATTTTCAAAACGTGGAACAAAAAATTGATTGGTGCTTCATGCAATAACTTAAAATAATTCTGCCTGCATCCCCATCAGAACTAAGACAGTTAAGTCAGACTTAGTAATAACATAATGATAATTCTTGCATTTGATATAGCACCTTATCACATCTTCGAGATGTCTCAAAATTCTTCACAGAATATACTGCAGAGTGAATTGACTGTATACTTTGTGGCGAAACACAGGAGCCAATTGTGCACAGAGGTGTCCACAAACAGTTAGGAATCGATAAGGATGTTTAAACGAGAGATGGACAGCTATTCAGGCAGTAGAGGTATTAAAGGGTGAAAGGATGGAGAATTGTTATTAAATGATCTGCAAAGATCTAATAATTGGTGGAACAGGTTCCATGGGTTGAATGACCTCTCGCTGTTGCTGTTTTCCTATGTTCCCATAAAACTGTTATTCTTACATGGTACAAACCAAACATACTTTCCATGTCAGTAAACTGTGGTGATGTACAAACTAGATGGGGAGGGTTGTTGTGCTTAAAATTAATTTTCTATCAGAAGAATAATTGGGATATTAAACATGTTGGGCATTTCTATTTATTTGTATCTGTAATTTCCAGTTTTAAGAGGTTAAAGAGGATACAGGAAAAAAATATTAAATATTCAGACTAGTGCAACATCAAGGTTACTGATCACTTGAGAACCAGGACAAATGCAGCCAAATCTAATAGCAAGAATGACTCTCTTTCTAATGTCAGGACCAGCAGACTGATTGTTTCTCAACCAGGGACGTCAATCTTAAATCAAGTATACTGTAAAGTGAATTGACTGTATATTTTGTGGATGAAACGCAGCAGCCAATTGCGCACAGCAGTGTCCCACAAACAGTCGTGGATTGAGTGACCAAATTATTATTATTTATTTATAATTTATAATATATTATTATTTATAATAAATATATTATTTACGATGGAGCATCTCACTTCAGAGGGAGTGGAAAAAATCCTTGTAGGGAACCAGTTACAGATGGTTCTTTTTTACTGAATGAATACATAAAGAAATCAGAGGTGCTGTTTGATAGGGCCATTTCCTAAAAAATGTGCTTGGTTTTGGTTCTGAGTTAAAATGCTTTTACTTTGCAAGAGAACTGTGAAAAGAACAGTGACGGTTTCTTGAGCTAGTTAAGTTGGATGCTCCCCATGTTATTTTTTATTTGAATTTAACATTTTAATCGTCTGCAAACCTATCTTTGTTATTTTTGCTTTGAATTCACGAGCCATCTGATTGGCAGCCAAATGTACATTTCTTACCGTCCTTGGAAAACAGAGATGGACTCGAACCCATCAACGCACTCTCGGTCATTATCTCTTTCGAAGGTAGTTTTGAGCACTCCAAGCACACTGTGTCAGAGTTTGTGTTCTCTGGTATGGTGCTGACGACCTTATGTGTCCCGTCATCTGAAGGTTGAACGTTTGAAGGAAGTAGCGTATGACCTAGAAGAATGCAACCAAAATATATTTGCTTAATCAGCATGAATCAGATGAAAAACGAGACTGAGCGGCGAGAAATGTCCTTAATACTGTCTAATCGAACAAGTGTCAGTTGTTATAACATTGCTCTGCAGAGTATAAGATGCTCAAAGTGCAATCCTTCAGACAGAGGCAAGACAGAGAGTTCCCGCCTGCCGAAGTGAACATTAAAGATGCCTTGGACATTATTCAAAAAGAACAGGGAATTTCTCTCCGTGGGCTGGCCAATAATCCCTGAAATACAACAAGTCATTTGTGGTTGCTTGCCACAGAATAAAATAATAATCCTTGCATTTGATACTGTGTATTGACTGTATTTTTTTGGTAATATACATTTGACAGTATATCCTGTGAAGTGCTGTGAGACGTCCTCTCGACATGAAAGATGCTATATCAAATGTAAGATAACACTGATCATTAAAGCTAGTGTCAGCTTGTCAGTGCTTATTATTGTGAATGCCATTATAGGTGCACAGCATCAAGGTCTGTAACTTCACCAGTCAGTGGGAACATGCTCCTTTGTTGTCCCCTAAATTGCACATTGGGTGAATGTGCTTTTATTCATTGAAAATCATTCTGTGCTGGCTGAACTTTCCTTACAATTTCTTTCGCTTTCTCAATATCAGTCGCAGCTCTAACCCTGCACAGTCCAAGAAGTCATCGAAAGCATCTCTTAACAACAAATGAAGGAGAAGTTAAAGTCCTATCCTCCTACTTGTTTCCCTGACAGAGGAGAACCTTTATAAGAAAGGATGGACCTACTTGTCTATATCCTGTAGAGATGGGTATTCTTGCCTCTAATGTTACTACCACATCTATGTTTAGTTAACATTAGCTAGGATTTGCTGAGAGAGACTGATAGCAGGAAGACGCAAAACTCTTCAACAACATTTAGAAAATACCTATTAAACTTAACTGGATGAAATATTTTATTAGTGCGGTGACGCATGGGTATGATTTCTCCATTGTTACACAAAGCATGAAAAGTCAGTTGAAAGATTACATTATAAGTCTTACCAGAATGAATGACAACTATAAGCGTCTCCAGGCAAGAATTACACCAAATAATAAATGCTCTCTTTTAAAAAAAATAGAAAGAACCGTTGCAATCATTATAAATATTACTACTTTATATCTTGGGGGACTAAGAAATATGCACAACTGTAAATCCCTGTGCAAAAAAAAACTCATCATACAAATGTAGCCTACTGCATCTTTAATATATGTGAAGCTTTGATTTACAATGTGTCGGGATATTTATTTCATAGATTAAACTACCCACGTTATACAACTTTCAGTCTCTATCTCGTTTTCAGGGACATCTAGCAGTCACTACCCAGTCGAAGTCTTAGAGAAAAAAAATGCCATTTAACTCTCTATTTCAATAGATCTGTTGTGTGTCGAAGGGAGACTTTATTGTTATTGATTTTGTGCAAGTTGATGAATGGCAGTGTTAGGGAACTCATTTTTAAAAATGTTTTTCCTCTGTGCTCAATGACAGCGGGTAAGGAGTCTCATGGTCAGAGTTTAGCAGGATGTCTTTGGGACTATGTTTCGCCCACAAAACATAGTCAATTCACTTTACAGTATATTCTATGAAGCACTTTGAGATGTCGAGAAGACGTGAGAAGACGCTATATCAAATGCAAGGATTATTATCATTATTATTAACTTATCCTGCATTAACCCCACAATCTTCCTGAAGCTCAACATCCAGAGTACTAAACAATTAAAAACACTGAGAGGTTACCCCCATTTGTGGAGTCCTGTAGCTCAGTGGTTAGAGCATTTGCTTTGCAAGCGAGAGACCTGAGTTCAATTCCAGGCAGAGGACGAAACCTTGGGCAAGTTTCCTTACTCCACACAGAGCCTAATAATAATCCGTCCAAAACATAACAATAATAAATTGCTCATTTTTAATCTACGACTGTTTGTGGGACATTGCTGTGCGCAATTGGCTGCCGCGTTCGCCCACAAATATACAGTCAATTCACTTTACAGTGTGTTCTGTGAAGCGCTTTGGGACGTCCTCCTGATGTGAAAAGCGCTATATCAAATGCAAGGATTATTATTATTATGAAGGGTGCTGTATTCAAGTTCAAGATGTTGTTGTTGTATTCTCAAACATCTTCCAGCTAATACACATCTGTTCCATCGCCTCTCAGAGCAAGAGGATTTAGTTAGTGCAACCATCGCTTAATGTGTAGATAACTGTGTGCTTTGGACCCTGTGGCTTCTATGAACATGATTAAAATGTTTCACTTTGGATCCATACCTCTGCCTGTTCTGATGAACGTTAAAGAGAAGGGAATTTTTCCTGATGACCTGGTTGACAATCCTACAGATAAAATAAGTTACTTATGTCGTGTGGGATTTTACCTAGAAATACAGTTACTGCACTTTACAGTATATTCTGCGCTTTGAGAAGTCCTTCCAACATGAAATGCACTACATCAAATGTAAAGATTATTATTTTTATTATTGTGCAAACTGTGGTCAAATATTTGTACACGACACTGGAGCATGTTTCTTCTTTTGTCCTATCATACCTAGCAAATATGAACACCAAGTTCGCAGTAAGCAGCTCACGACGAGAGATCTGTACAAAAGCATAAAATTGGACTATTGTCGCCACTGATATCACTCCATTCATTGATTGCGAAGAAGTACTATTTGCTTTGGTTTACTTGTGACTGTGCCAGCAGTTGGTCAAATATATCCCCCAGACAGGATTTCTTATTGACGCCCAGCAGTGGTGCAGGACAGAAGGATTTGCCACGCGGCACTTAAATGAATGATTTCTGTTCTTTATCTTTATCTTTGTACGAAACAGTAGTGGTAATATCTTTCATCCATTTTCTTCTTCCGTTTTGCTAATTGCCGGGATATTTCCCATGATTGTGCCTGCATCACATTGGGCTTGTTATTTATGGACTGCAGATCACATTCTGCAACTGCTCATAGCCGGCAGGCAAATAATTAATTTTCTCAATTTTCGGTTGAGGTTCTCAAAGTCCGTGGGCTTAGCCTCAAAATAGGCTTCACGTTTCTGCTGTGTGTTTTGATGACAACACCTGACTGGTTGCTTATAACATACACATCAGCTTTAAGCCTGGGTTTAAATCCTACCCCTTTTGACCTACCTCTTCGCCTGCATCTATGGATACCTCCCCAATCATACCTCTTCTCTCAGCCCTGCTGTAAAGTGCTCAAACTTTATTCTATGTGAAGCGTGGTATTATAACTGTTGTTGCTGTGAGGTAAACAAATAGATTGTCCACGACCACAAACATTTGTAAGGTCAAATTTAATGCCCAAAAACTTCACCTGGTCTTAGCCTGGAAGGCCACTTTGTTTTCAAATTGAATCGAGGAAAAAATGTAGACTTAATTTGGAATTCATGTTTTCTGCAGTTTTTGAAAAGGATCTGCTTCCCAATTAAAACTGAATTTAAGATTTTCCACCATTCTGTTCGATATTAGGGCAAAAGGATCTTACCGGTAGAAACTTGGTGGAATTTCGAGCCTTTAATCTCCTATCCTGTGATGGCGACGTTACTTTATTGGTTTAACAAGGTGCTGAATAAAAGAATGAAACAAAGATTTGATCCATTTTCTGTTTAGAGCACTGTTGGAAGTCAATGGCAAACAGGCAATCAAACCATATGGATGACCCTCTATGTTTCTGCACTAATTATTGTGTTGGAATACAATAACAGCACATTCCACTTGTATATCGCCCTTCACGTCAGGAAAGACATCCCAGGACACTGGACAATCAGCGGTTTGGAATATAAAATAAGCAAATACATTTAGTATTTGTTGCTTTGTTGATCCAGAAGAATCATTTTTAAAAGAAAATCTTTCAAGATGGCAAAAAAAGTCTTTAAACCTGTGTGTGTGTGTTTGTGAGGCGGGGGACTCAACGTCACAAAAAGCAGAATATTTAACGTCTCCTTCTTAAATGGTTTAATTTCCAGGCAGAAAGCTCCTTGGTGCCTTTATTGCTTGTGAACCAGTCAACCTCATTCGTGGAAAGGAAAATCATAGTTCATGGCAAGCTATAAAGGCGTGTTCTCCATTTATACACCCCGTCCAACCCCACAATCACTCCAACTCCAAACACTGCTCATGGGGAAGGGAGTTGGGGAGGTGCAGAAACTGCTCCATCTGATTTTTAAGATTGTAAATGTACCCGAGGCAAGGAATTTCAAGACAGCAAATATTAAGCCTTCATTTAAAATTCTCCAAGAAAGTCCATTTACGCTGTAAAATCTAATGAGATTCATTGATTTCTGATATTTGTGTATAAATCTGATATAGGTTTATTTTTAAGCTTTGCAAGTTTGTACAATTAGTGGAGCAGACAGTGTCTAGACAGATTCCTGCACGCACTGCGTGTCTCCTGATTTACTGAATCTATTGAGCACTTCTAATGTGCAGCACCTTGTAAAATGGGGCTAGATTTCTCAATCAGGGCCAGAAAGAAATTAATTTTGTATCATTTTATCCATCAAAAAAGTACAACTTGCAACTATCACATAAACTTGCTGAAGGTTTGGGGAAAAGAACATGAGTTGATCTCCGTGTGTTTCTAAAGTGAATGGGAAATTAGAAAACGGTGGGGATAAAATGTAAAATCCAATATATTTTATAAAAAGTCCAAGGATTAAATATTAATACTAACAATAATCCTTGCACCTGATACAGTACTGTGCATTATTATGTCGTCAGTGTCTCAAAGAGCTTCACAGGATTTACTGTAAAGTGTAATTCATTCTTGCTCTGTGGCTACCTCTAGTTTGACCACAACCTTACTACATTTCTCACACTGTATATTTTCTGCAGTTCATGCTGTTTCCATTTGCAGCCAATCAACCTTGACTTTCACACTAATTAAAAGTCTAGTCCCCATGTCAGCGACTTATCATAGCAATCAAAAGATGTTCGTCTGTGTGTGTGTGT